GCTGCGCTAAACCACGTTCATATTCGCGCGATTTTTTGCGCTGCTCATCAGTGAACAACGGCTCTGTGTAGTTAATGCTGCTCAATGTGAAAGCACGCAGGTGATGGAGATTTACCGCTGATTACAGACCGGCTTTACTGATAAGATGCGCGTTAAATATCGCATGCGATTAATCGTGCAGCCCTAGTTCCCACTTTAAGTGAACCTTAGTTCCCAGGACATCTACAAGATGGATTAAAATGCTAATGCTGTAAAATGAGGGGAGACATAAATACATAACAGTATGACTGAAATGTTAAGGGCCTGGCTTCAGGGCTTTGACTAATTCAGGATTAGGCCATAGTTCAATTAGGACATTTAAGTATTTTTTATAAACATTAAAAAACATTACTGGTGTGCATCTTGAGACAAAACAAGAGCACTGACACATTTTATGATCAATCAGTGCAAGCTTCTTTCAGTTGAAACAGCTCAGACTTACATTTTAGTCTTGGACTAGGCTTAAGCCTTGTATGTGAAACCAGGGGAAGGTGTTTAAAAAAGAAAGAAAGAAAGAAAACATGTTTATTCTGTGGCACTTAAACAATTATTGTTTCTTATAGGAGCCAATGGTTTCTTAAGTGATTTTTTTATTTTTATTTTTATTTTTTTTGTCTGGAGCCCTGATACCTTCTAAATGTACTGTGCCTGGTGCACATAAAACTGCTGGATCCAGACTCGCTTTGGTCTTAAAAAAGCGGATTTTCCTGTACCTACTGTGGCTATGAGCTCAGTTGGAAATGTCTCAGTATGGAGAGCCAAAGGGTCAAAGGATGAGATCAAAGCGTCTGCGAGAAGGAGCTGCCATCCTCATTTAGAGAGTGTATAAAAATGTGCTCAGAATTAGATCAGAGCCATAAATTACTGCAGGATGATGACTAGCAAATGCACTACCACAGCCTGCTTTGATCCTGAGATGTCTGTGCTTCTCTGCTTTAGCACAGGAGCTGACCAACAGAGCTGGTGGTACTCGCTCAAGGGACTCTAGCTTGACTTTTGCATTCAAACTGAATGTCAGCAACTTGTGTAAGACTGCAAGCTGCTAAAATCTCGAAGAAAGCCTATAAAAACTATTAATGATGTAATAATCCTGTAGGAGCAGATATCAATAAATGGGATTTCTTTTTAAATTTATGAGTATTGTTTGATATTGGATATTTATTTGTGCATAATCATTCATTCGTTTATTTATTTACATTTTACCTTTGCCGTCATCTAATTCTCAAAGCCATTAAAGTCATTAAAACCACTAATAATTTAATTATAAATGCAATCTTTAGCAAATCTCAAATTGAATGTCAATGCTGTACATTATACTGTTGTTATGCTTAAATTCACTTCCAAAAAATGATTTTTTTTCTTGTCATTTTATTTTTCATTTATTTTATTTTTAATATATTTTATTTTTTAATTTTTTCATTATTCATTTTTAATTAGGCATAGTAATGTAGAATTATTATATTGGCCAATTATCAGTTATTTGCCATAATTTAAATCTGCCAGCCTAATGATATCAACTAGACATTTAGTAATGGTGCAACCCATAATTTATTATTATAATTATTTTATGTATTTAGTTTTATCCATTTATAATAAATGTACGTTTATTATAGATTCGTCACAGCTGTCTAGCCATCACACAGAATAGAAAAAGCAATTTTCAAAAACAGTGTGGCCCATTCAAGGAATGCACTCATGTCTTTCTTCTGACCTCACGTTGTGCTGCTGATGTCTGAACAGTGATGAAATCTTCCTTATTTACATTTCTGATTTAATAAATTCCTCATTTAAATGTTGACAACAACTGTATAAGATACAGTACATTGTCACAAATATACAACCCTTATGGGAGTTGTGCATCCTATGCCCGACCTTTTAACAGCTGTTATTGTGATACCAAAATTGCCAATTATTATTATTATTTTTTAAGCAAAATTATTTATTATTCATTTGCTCTATAACAAGCTAACTGGCCTTAAACAAAAATGTCTGTAGTCATTTGAAATTAGAGGCAACCACTGCATTTTAATCACAATCCAAAATATGCTACATACATGTTGCATGAGCAGTAGTTTTTGATTTGAATTAGATAGTACAATTTCATGATTTAAAGCAAAAACAGAACAGTCTGACATTATCTTCGTGAAATTATGCTACATAAAACTAGGGTTGCAAAGGGGAGGAAAATTTCCGGAAAATGTCTGGAAACTTTCCAAAAATCCCCGGAATATTCCAAAAAAAATCCTGGAAAGTTTCCAAAATTTCTGGAATATTTCCGAAATTTACTGGAAATTTTCCACCTTTTTGCAACCCTAATAAAAACATATCTACATGAAACAGAAACAGCAAACAGGCTGAATGAGACGCACATTCGCTCTCTAACAGCAAGTGGCGCTTATGGAACAGCAGCGATACAGCGTTTCCTTGGTTACTGCTGTAAACAAAGAAGCTATATACTACTTTATATGGAGGTAAGAGGAGAAGAAAATGCCATTGGCATTGAAATTTTTCTGAAGACAGTCAGTTCCCTTCAGATACATTCATATAACCCCTCACCCCCAATTCAATATTAATATTTTCTTCCTATATTTCGAGCATCGTGAACCGTGAGCTTGCTGTGCCTGCTGCAGTATTTTCTCCTCTTTGCATCCTTCTTCAGCGTGTCTGGCCTCTGTTAACGTCCTGTTTGTAGACTCAGGCATGATGTATCTTTAGTAGCTCCCGAAAATAATAGAAAACTAAGTACAAAAAATACTGTACAAAGACAAATACAATGTATTTTTTGTACTTATTTTTTCTTTTGTTTTCAGGAGCTACTGGGACAGTGATAAAGATCTACCAGTCGATTGCGATCGACGGGTTGGCGACCACCGGTCTACGGTCACAAATGGAGTATTTCAGTGGTCATATTGACTATGACAGATTAGTTAAATCTCTGTCCTTGTCAAACAAAGTGAACATAAGTATGTTTGGCACTGAAAGTGCTTGTCTTTTGCAGGCGAGACATGGAACCCCCTGAAGCTTCACTATCAGCTGCGTAACGTCCGAGAGCGCCTGGCGAAGAACCTTGTAGAGAAGGGCGTCCTCACCACCGAGAAACAAAACTTTCTTCTGTTCGACATGACTACACACCCACTTACCAATAATAATATTAAGCAGCGCCTTATTAAGAAGGTGCAGGAGGCCGTGCTGGACAAGTGGGTGAACGACCCTCACCGAATGGACAAACGTATTCTAGCCCTTATATTCCTCGCCCATTCCTCGGACGTACTAGAGAACGCGTTCGCCCCGCTGCTGGATGACCATACGTTTATTATAGATTCGTCACAGCTGTCTAGCCATCACACAGAATAGAAAAAGCAATTTTCAAAAACAGTGTGGCCCATTCAAGGAATGCACTCATGTCTTTCTTCTGACCTCACGTTGTGCTGCTGATGTCTGAACAGTGATGAAATCTTCCTTATTTACATTTCTGATTTAATAAATTCCTCATTTAAATGTTGACAACAACTGTATAAGATACAGTACATTGTCACAAATATACAACCCTTATGGGAGTTGTGCATCCTATGCCCGACCTTTTAACAGCTGTTATTGTGATACCAAAATTGCCAATTATTATTATTATTTTTTAAGCAAAATTATTTATTATTCATTTGCTCTATAACAAGCTAACTGGCCTTAAACAAAAATGTCTGTAGTCATTTGAAATTAGAGGCAACCACTGCATTTTAATCACAATCCAAAATATGCTACATACATGTTGCATGAGCAGTAGTTTTTGATTTGAATTAGATAGTACAATTTCATGATTTAAAGCAAAAACAGAACAGTCTGACATTATCTTCGTGAAATTATGCTACATAAAACTAGGGTTGCAAAGGGGAGGAAAATTTCCGGAAAATGTCTGGAAACTTTCCAAAAATCCCCGGAATATTCCAAAAAAAATCCTGGAAAGTTTCCAAAATTTCTGGAATATTTCCGAAATTTACTGGAAATTTTCCACCTTTTTGCAACCCTAATAAAAACATATCTACATGAAACAGAAACAGCAAACAGGCTGAATGAGACGCACATTCGCTCTCTAACAGCAAGTGGCGCTTATGGAACAGCAGCGATACAGCGTTTCCTTGGTTACTGCTGTAAACAAAGAAGCTATATACTACTTTATATGGAGGTAAGAGGAGAAGAAAATGCCATTGGCATTGAAATTTTTCTGAAGACAGTCAGTTCCCTTCAGATACATTCATATAACCCCTCACCCCCAATTCAATATTAATATTTTCTTCCTATATTTCGAGCATCGTGAACCGTGAGCTTGCTGTGCCTGCTGCAGTATTTTCTCCTCTTTGCATCCTTCTTCAGCGTGTCTGGCCTCTGTTAACGTCCTGTTTGTAGACTCAGGCATGATGTATCTTTAGTAGCTCCCGAAAATAATAGAAAACTAAGTACAAAAAATACTGTACAAAGACAAATACAATGTATTTTTTGTACTTATTTTTTCTTTTGTTTTCAGGAGCTACTGGGACAGTGATAAAGATCTACCAGTCGATTGCGATCGACGGGTTGGCGACCACCGGTCTACGGTCACAAATGGAGTATTTCAGTGGTCATATTGACTATGACAGATTAGTTAAATCTCTGTCCTTGTCAAACAAAGTGAACATAAGTATGTTTGGCACTGAAAGTGCTTGTCTTTTGCAGGCGAGACATGGAACCCCCTGAAGCTTCACTATCAGCTGCGTAACGTCCGAGAGCGCCTGGCGAAGAACCTTGTAGAGAAGGGCGTCCTCACCACCGAGAAACAAAACTTTCTTCTGTTCGACATGACTACACACCCACTTACCAATAATAATATTAAGCAGCGCCTTATTAAGAAGGTGCAGGAGGCCGTGCTGGACAAGTGGGTGAACGACCCTCACCGAATGGACAAACGTATTCTAGCCCTTATATTCCTCGCCCATTCCTCGGACGTACTAGAGAACGCGTTCGCCCCGCTGCTGGATGACCAGTATGATCTGGCCATGAAGAGAGTACGGCAGCTGCTGGACCTGGAGCCTGAGAGCGAGAGCATGAAGAACAACACCAATGAGCTGCTGTGGGCTGTGGTGGCTGCCTTCACCAAATGAAGCAGGTTCAGTTCTGATGGACGTGTGATCAAATGTAAAACTGTTGGACTGGTAAAATCAGCTTTGAGTTGGATTGACCTGGTATGTCAGAATGGAGTGTCAGTTTTCTTTCCTTGTAGATATTCCTTCCTCGCTACTCTCTGCAAGATCTATCATTGGGTGTCTCTTTTGTTTGGTAAGGGGACCAGTTTATTTTCTCCTTCTTGAATCGTTTGTTCAATTGAATGCAATTGGGTACCTTCTCAGCGTAGACTGTTGGAACATTTACCATTCGCGTCAAAGTCGCACCAAATGGCTTGTTTTTTATTCCTTTCTTGTCTGGACATCTGTGTTGGGCTCCTAACAGATTTGTCAATCGGAAAATTAAGTAAGGATTTTTCCATTTTGTTATCAGTTTCATGCATTTAATTGGACTCAACAGATGCTCAAGAAAATAAAGTACACTGCAGTGTGTCATAATTTTTCATTCAATTTGTTTTCATACTAATAATAGAGCCTAAAAATAAACCAAAAAGGTTATCAAGGGCAAAATCCTGTAATGATAACAGATTAAACCTTATTTTAATTGCTAGTTTAAATGCAAATTTAGGGAAGGCTGTTAGAGGACCTGTTCAGTATTTACTAGGTGTATTATGAGCATTTTTTTAAAATTACTACCATTCCCTCCAATTCCCTTGATGCTCTACGTTCTGTCTATAAACACCCCACAACTTCGAACTCTACCTCTTCACACATTTCTTGTCGTGATTTCTCATGAGCATTCTGTTATGTTACTTAGAGATTGATTTAAAATGTACTTTTATGTGCCTGAGATTGGTTACAAGATGCGTAGCTCTCAAGGTGCAGTATGTACTGTAGCTCTTTGTGACGTGGCATTAATTGAGCTAGATTCAGAAATTGGTTGTAACTCAGTTCCTCGGAGGCCTCATACCCTTTGCATATACTGTACCTACCATAAACTAAATTTGAGGACCACAAGAGTTTAATTCTAAGAAATCTATGTCCTCCCTGAAAATAAGCATACATTTAACATACAGCTTCATTTTCTTTAGATATTATGCCACTGATATATAGAAGTCTGCGCAAGTCCTCAAGGTTTTAAGGGATGTTTTATGGTGGAATCTTGAATAAGATTTTCATTTCATGTACTCTCACCTTTAAATGGGATTTAAAAGAAATCATAACCTTCAAAAATGTGACTTTTATATGTAAGAGCAGATTCCATTTTCTCGAGTCAGTATATTTTTGATAATATTTTATTATCATTAGCTGATTGGCGGTAGTATGGTAGGATGGATTGGCATTCTGTCACAATCTAGTTTAATCTGTATATAGTTTCTTGTGTATTCATGCTGCATACCATATGAGCAAACAATCATTTTGCCTGGCATATTAACACTAGCACAAGCATGACTTAATTTTGTTTTTTACACTATGAAGTTGTGTCGAGAGAGCCTTTATTCAGTCGTCATATTTCAATGTTTGTGTATTGGCATTCTGTTGATTTTTATTAAGTTTTATATCAATAATTTAAAAATCAACATGCTTTTGTTTTGTTCTGTTTCTTTCACAATGATGGCAAATGCTTGCTTCACAATAGTTAACTGTATGTAGCGATGGACTGGGAAATCCACCAGTTGTTTGGCAGTGTCAATTTAAGACATGGGGGATTTTTTAAGTGTCTGAGAGTGAAAGAAAATTAAAATCATGTGTGTAGCTTTAGGACTCACAATAAAGGGACCCCAATGTATATACTTTCTTATTACTATGAAATAAACTATGGTCTTGAAAGTGCCTCAAACATCATCTGTTATTTATTTTGTGAAAAAGCAAGTGCTGCTTTTGATGCATCAAAGTCAGACAAATGTCTAAACTGAATGCATCTTTCCCACAAATGCATTTACATATACTGTAAGTTAGATTTTTGTACTAAACAATAATTTGTGTTTTTAGAATGTATTGTAAATGATTTTTTTGTAGTCTGACAGATATATACAGTGGGTACGGAAAGTATTCAGTCCTTAACTTAAATGATTTTAGCAAACGGCTGCAATATAACAAAGAGTGAAAAATTTAAGGGGGTCTGAATACTTTCCGTACCCACTGTACTACTGTTCAAAAGTTTGGAGTTGGTAAATTTATAAATGTGTATGAAAGAAGTCTCATATTCTCACTAAGGCTGCATTTATTTGATAAAAAATACAGTAAAAACAACATTGTGAAAAAAATACAATTTAAAATAACTTCTATTATAAAATGTACTCCTGTTATGGCAAAGTCTTCAGCGTCACATGATCCTTCAGAAATCATTCTAATATGCTGATTTGGTGCATCTAATATGCTGATGCATCCTTGCTGAATAAAAAGTATTAATTTCTTAAAAAAAAGAAAGAAGAAGAGGTCTTATTCAATCCCAAACATGTGAATGGTGGTATAGACGATGTGAATGCAGCTCATCTTCATCCAGCATGTCGGACTTGGCCTCGCCGTAGTGTGCATTTTCCGAAGTACAGAGGTGTTTACTCCTAAAGTTAAGCATTTGGAGTTTATACCACTGAGTCATTTTGAAATCCCAGACTAGCAAACTTATTCAACCACTAATGAGCATTTCAGCTATTTAACTGACGGTATGTTGGCTTCTAGATTGCTGACTATCCAGTTGTATGTATAAATCATTGCTATAATTCTAGAAGAAAAACCCCAGAGCCGAAACGCTCATTGAGAATGAGTTTGTGTTTACCCTGTTGATAGTAAACAGTTTTATTCCACATTAGTTAGTGAAGAGGGTTTCTCTTACGTCAGGGTTCTTGTATTTACACGCTCTTGCTTTTTTTGGTCATTTTTCAGTCAGTCTTTGAGTGGTACTTCTCCCATAGCAGTGGATGTGTATAGTGTTGAGTCTCTGGTCTATTCTTCTGCCTGGCCTGGTGTGCTGTCTGGTTTCTGCAGACGTTTGGCCAGCTGTGGTAGAAGGTTGTATCGTGTCTGCCTGCAGAATAGCCTCAATGCATTAATATTTCGGGTGAGCTCATCTCTTAACGCTGAAAGAAAATACTCAACCCAAGGGTCAGAAGCGAGCATAAGACCTTCATCCTTCAGTACATGGTTGAAACATGTTGTTCTGGCATTGTCAATGATGACTCATAGTTATGTAAAATTCTGTCTTTTCCTTAAAGGGAAAGTGTTTGACGTGCATATTCGTGCATTGCCGGGAAATGTTGAGGCTTGGAAGCGCGTGATTATGTTGACTTATCCAGCGTCTTTGCTGATTTAAAACACAGTCCACCCTGTTAGCTGACAAGATTCTACTTGGTGACTTTCTCAGAATATTAACTCGTAACTTCATGAAAATGTGGTCAATATGATTTATAGATTAGCAAGAACTGCTTATAATCAAGTCAGCCGCAAATGTGATATAGCTCCTGTTTGAATCACAGATAAGAATCTAGGCAATGTTGTGAAATATGTGTTGTGAGGATTAGATACACAGTAATCTCTTATCTGCTGTAACCTACCAACACCAGAAACATTTATAAATCATTTATATATTTTTGCAAAGCTCTTATGAAGACATTACAGTCTTGTCTTCAACTGCTTGATTGCACAATAAATATCAATGTTAGTTTCATAACTAACAACAGATCAGAATATACTTTATAGCCCCCTTTATAGAAATTTGATTTAAAACGGCATGTTGTCATTAAGCCACTGAAGATTAATATTTTACAATCATTCATGCAATCAATCAATCAATTAATCAATCAATAAATGCATTTTTACCTCTGAAACGTATTAGTGATTGATTTAAAAAAAAAAAAAGATAAAATATCAAGTGACAAAATTATAGTTAAAATGGTATGTCGCTACAAAGACACTGAACATGAGTATTTATGATCATTCATGGCATAAATAAAGTAATTAATTAATTTTACCACTGAAACATAATGGTGAAACTCAATTTTGTTAAAAAAAAAAAAGTTTAAAAATATCAAAGTTAAAAAATGTGATGGTGATGATTATTTTGTACAAACGTTATAACATTTTCTAAAAGTTGAATAGAAAAATAGAAAAAGTAGACTAGCAAAAACTTTGTGCAGTTTGCTAGAAAGCAAGTGACAAAATAAAAAAAAAGTTTAGAAAGAAAATTCTGATCAATAGACTAAAGATGTTTACCACAAACCAGAGACACAAACACCCTGGTAAAACCATACATCCCTATAATCAGACTTGGTGGCAGCAGCATACTCTGGATTTGATTGAATATTCATGTTCCAGCAGGACGATAAAAAGCACACACACACACACACACACACACACACACACACACAAGAGTATGATGGAATGTTTATAAGCTTATAATTCTGGAATGGTTCATTCTGAGCTGAGACATTAATCCAATTGAATATTTTTGGTATGACCTGAACATTGCTGCAAGCCAACACTTTCTAATTTGGCAGAGATGGAGTGAATTTGTGCCGAAGAATTGAAATGTGGAAAGTTCATGCAGACATAACCAAGAGGACTCATACTGTAGTTGCAACTCGAGGAGTAGGTACACAGCATGTATTCATTGGGGGTGATTGCTTTGTGTTGAATTCATTGTTATTTCAATATGCTAAAATCTGGAATTAACAAAATGCAGAAATAAAATCAAGGGGAGAGGGGTGAGTACTTCTGACAAGGTGTTCTGTTCAGTTTTCTATTGCTTTAATATCTATTCCATTTCAATAATTTTCCTTTATGATTACATTTATTACAAAAATGCCAAAATTTCTCTCCTCGACTTGGCAGGACCAGTGGTCAATCTGTGGGTGCCCAGCAGTCTGAAAGTGCAACATTTTCTTCATAGTTCTTTTCACTTCCCTTGAAATAATAAATGACCTAAAGGCACATAAGCGCCTCCCAAATCAAAACCACCTGGGCCCAAGAATGCCTGTGTACCTCGTTGTTTCTATGGACTCCTGGAGTTGAAGAGTACAATACTTCATCTGCAGAACAGCCTTCAGAATATTACATATGTAGAAAAAGCCAAGGTTTAAACACCAACAATTTCATGTCTTGATTGTCCATCTCCAATCAGTGGTATACAGAAAAGTGAAAAATGAGGGTAAATAAATATTGACAAATATTATATGGTGATATGAAACAACTGTAATCAAGTAAAATTAAAGCTAACAAATCAACAGCCCCTGTGTTAATCATAACATTTCTAATCAGCATTTCAATCATAAACAGAGATGTTCACATGCAATTGTGTTTGAGAGCAAACGAAAATATCACAGCAGTTTTTGTTCTGAGGCATTTTTCATGTTCCTGTTTGATACAAACAGTCGTGAAAGTTCCTCCCAGCCCTGAAAAAGAATTCACATCATACATTTTATGTACAGTTCCTCACAAGTTCCTAACAAGGTATTTTGTTTATTTAAGCTTCTAGGCATGAGATACTGTTTGTGAGTATACTGAATGAGACTAAAGGCAGGGCAAGTCTGGTCCAAAAAGGTTTTTATGATCTGATTTGCCATGCCCAGACAAAACTCAGCTGGGGATTCCCAGAGGTTATGCTTCATACTTTTAATTGTAGAATATAGTGACAGAAATGTACTTATATTTACTTATACAAGTGTTGTTATATAAGTACTTGAATTTAATGAACTGGATCAATTAATTGGTAAACATGAATCTCTATCGCTAATTTTTGCTGTTAATGATGAAACCAGAATATAACAGATGAACATCACAACAGAATATAGTGAAATATATCAACTGTTCAAAAGTCATTACCCCTTAACATTACACAGTCCAGACATTCAATGTAAAAAAAAAGAGGCACATCTGTCTCTATGGGCCCTCAGTTTGAATACAAAATTATATTTCCACTTGAAATAATTTTAAAGGTTAAAACTGCCAAATATGGCTCTAGAAGATCAATTTACCACAAGGCATTTAACAACTGCTCTGTGTTTATCAGATCCAGCAGCAGCTAATTAAACAGCAGCAGCAGCGGTGTTGCTCCGCCCACTCTCTGCGTCATTCCTCACAGCGAATTGCGTGCATGTGTTAAAACTGAGCCTTTACTGTTACTGCTGCCTCTTTTGTGAAAGAGTTGTCAGAGTTGACCAAAAGTGAGGAGCTTTTTCAGCTTTTTTTTTTTTTCCAGCTCAGCTGTTCTGTGTGCATGTGGTACTTTTTCCCCAGATCACTGCAGGACTCGACTTGAGAATCGCAGCGGATTTCATTGATTTGGATTAAAATTTCTTCTGGTCTTGGAAATACAGTCCGCTAACACGTTTTAATGCAGCTGCACGGATGGTAAGTTTTAGTTTATATAGTTTATAGCTTCACTGATGGTTTTTAAATAATATTTTCATGTCGATATAAAGTTGTTGCATATTGTTAAAACTAATCGTGGTAGTGGTATATTTGTACCACTATAGAACAGAGTATATTTATGCATATGACTCTATAGAACAGAGGCACGCGAAAGCGAATGTCTGGCGAATATCGAACCTAAAACTAACTTTACCGCGCTCTAAACTCCTATCGCATTTTTGTCTTGTGTCTTCATGGAGAAATGTTGACAAACGGACATCTATCCTTATTTATACATGATTGGTTATTACTACCAAACAAGAGCATGTTACTGTATCTGTTAATATAATAAAAAAATCACTCCTTTTCCTCTTTTAAGTCATCTAACTTAGATTTGTGGAGCTGCGTAGGCTAGTTAATTTGGGCACTAAGTATTTTTAAGTATTTTAGCTAAGTATTTATTTAATTTATTTATTATTTAACTCTAAACACTTGAGAAATATGGTTAAAATTATGTACATTTACATGAGATGACTCCCGTTATATAAGTCTTCTAGAAATAAACAAACAAACAAAAACAAAAACAAAACCCCTTTTATTCTGCATGGAGTGGGTCGCTCCCATGGGCGCCACCATATTGATGTCACATGACCAGTCATATCATGCAATTAACTACTATTAGTAATAATAATAATACATGTTTTTTAACAATAAAGCATATGGAAGAATGCATTGAAGAGATTAGTTAGCTATATTGTCCTTGAATCCAAAACCCGCAGACCTGACATAAATTTGAAGAGCCACTTAAAAATTATGAAAAAAATCAAATAAATTGATGCAAAATTTTGCCAGCAACCTATGGGCATAGTGATATTGCTGTTGGTGTTGTGTACTCATAGTTCTCATCCATTCACCTGAAGTGTGAGCGTGCATTACCTGTGTTTTAATGCATCTCTGTACATCCATTTGTGCATGTTACTGTTTGGCTGACAGTTATATGCTCCGTCTGAAGCGTTCACTTGTGTGAGTAAGTCTCCTCCCTTTGTGTCTGTTTCTGCTGAGGTGGGAGAATTACACACTGTTGTCAGTCATGGCATTTAGACCTCACACATTACCACTGTACCATTGTTCCTATACCTCTGGGAAAATAAAAAATATCCAATGATCTAATGTACACATTGACCTGTTTATTTTTGTGTAATGTGTACATTAAATGCAATATGCACTTTCAGAAGTACCCTATAAGGTAAGAAACAAGTAGTAAACTAACCACAATGATGAAACTTCTGAATCAGGTTCATATTGATTCATATTTTTATGTCATATTCTCAAATTCCCAGTTATGTTCAAATCTACTCTAAGAGTCATATGGAAAATGGAAAATATCCAAGCCAGAAGCCTAAACTGTTAGTGCCAGTATGCAGTATGACATGGTAAATTAGAAGGCATTTATTCATCATCCATCTTAAAGGTTATCGGGTAAAACATACTGTCATGTGATCCTTTTTGATTTGTATAGTTTAAAATTTATATGACAGTAATTTTTTTGTGCCCTGTGTACACACTAAACATAGTTGAACAGTGCATTAGAATGCTGCTGACCTGCTTGGTTTCTCCATTTAGTCACTTCAAGGCTATAGATCAGGGGTGGCAAACTCCGGTCCTGGAGAGCCGCAGCCCTGCAGAGTTCAGCTCCAACCCTAATTAAAACTGACCTGCCTGTAGCTTCCTAGTAACCCTTCAGAACTTGATTAGCTTGTTCAGGTGTGTTTGATTAGGGTTGAAGCAAAACTCTGCAGGGCTGCGGCTCTCCAGGACCGACGTTCGCCACCCCTGCTATAGATCATGAAAAGACCAATTCTTCTTAATGCTTCATACATTAAATATCTTAGCACACATGAACCCTCAGCAGCAGCCTGGTGCACTGAAGCAGAGTGGTCGTCCTGGAAAAAGTGAACAGCAGTGTGTATAGTCTAAAAAAAGACCGTAATGGTGCGTCTCAGAGAGAATGGTGAAACTGGGAGCAGGGGAGTGTCAGTGGCTTGTGGTACAGTTGTTGATTTTGGGTTAAGCTGGACAGTATCTGGCACACCGCCCAACTGCAATGCATGACTCATCCAGCGGGGAGACCACAAGAATGAGCCAACCCGCCCCGTCTAGATCAAATTCTCTTCCTGAGGATTACATCTGTACATCTCACGCTGCACTGTTAAGCAAAGAATAAGGAAAGACAGCCCGTTTCATAGAAAAGATTGCAGCTTCTGGATGTGATGTAGAGCAAGGGTCTCCAACTGAGGGTCCGCAACCCCCAGGAGGTCCGCCAATTAATGTTTGATCACAAGTCATTTTTCGTTAAAAAATGTAAACATGGGTACATAACAAACATAACAGTCAATTTTAAATATAAGCAGCCTGAAACGAAAGCAAGAGCACCCTCAGTTGATACTGCAATGATGTTATATTGTTTTTGAGTTTGTGCTTCGAGAATGTGAAATGTTCCTATTTACAGCATGTTTTTGCAGCGGTGAGAAATGTAGCCAATCACAGACATGGTTGTTGATCTCTTGAACGCACTGGCCAATCAGAGATGTTTAAGTTAGACTCCACTAACCACTCACTACAGAGTTTTTATTCAGTGTTGAATTACGCTCACTTTCGTGAATCCTCTCTCATTAACAAACAAAGACACGACGTAAGATTCATTATGCAGTCTAGACAACTTTATTGATTTTAATGGAACGTTGTGAAATCTCAAACTGAGATGAGTGACAGCTTTTTAGTGACTGTAAAGTGAGCGGTCTTTCACACTTTCGAGGATATAGCTATAATCCGTTGAATACAAGTATTGTTTTTCATGCTGCTACGAGGACCGACGGCCGATTACACGCTGCAAAGTTTTGGAAGTGACATCTACATATAAATGCGTGATTCATTCTGAATCTGCAATTGATATTGTGATGCTAGCACGGGACAAAAATATGGCTTGTCAAAATCAATAATCAATGTAAATGTAGACTAATAGATTACTAGAAAAATATTCGTATCAATATATTTTTAAATTCCATTCCAATTTTTGTAAAGGTAATGCTTTTTAAATAATCGTGAATGTCTCACTGTACATTGCTATTCTTGTCATTGTGGAGCCCTTGCTTACACATTATATCTGCACTTTATTAGAAAACCCTCGCTCAGTGATTTGATTCTTAATTGTCCATCTCACAGTAAAATTACAATGTTAAGTTTTAGTAAACTTGAAGCTAAAGTTTAACAAAATGTTTATTTGTCCTTCTGACGGTAAAATTAAAATGTGAATTTTTAATAAACTTAAAGTTCAGATAAGTGTAAATGTCCATCTGACTAGTAAAATTAAAATGTATGACTGCAAATCCATTAAAATAAATTACAACTACTGCAAACAACTAATGAATTGTGATTTTTATCTCAACTTGTTTTTTTTTTATGATGCATTTTAACAAGTCATATACAGGCATGTGAGACAACAATAATGTGCATAGTTCTGATCTACTGTCATAACATAATATACATGTAACATAATATAATTTATTCTTAATCATAATATGGTTAGTTTCTATTAATATTGAAGGCTATATGCTTAATGTGTAGCTCTGCTTGACACATTTTGTATTGGGGTCCCTGCTCCATGTCTCGCCTAAGTTGTCCTTGCCCTGAAAAACATTGAAGACCTCTGATATAGAGCATCTAAACATTTGTCTTTGCATGGCTGACATTAGATGCTTTACATACAGTGGGTACGGAAAGTATTCAGACCCCCTTAAATTTTTCACTCTTTGTTATATTGCAGTAACTTAAATGATTTTAGCAAATGGCTGCAATATAACAAAGTGAAAAATTTAAGGGGGTCTGAATACTTTCCGTACCCACTGTACATTTTGCATGTGTGGTTATCTGTTTAACGAAGGACGGTCAAAGTTCAGAATTGAATGGATGGAGACACATTTGAATGGATCCCTGCTGGTATGAAATTTAAATATTTATTTTTCTCTTATAAAAATGTATGTGTATAAAAAAAACTATAGCAGACTATTAACATCCAAGGATGTGCAGGAGTTTGAGTTTGACATCTACTAAACCATACTTTTATTTCACCCTTGCAAAAACCAAAGTTTCTGCAGAGCGCTTTGCATCAGTATTATGTCACGTCTTTTATAAGTGCACCCACTTTTTTCCCCCATGTGGCTTCCCTTGCCTCCCTGAAAAGAATGGAGATGACCCTTGGAGGACGGAATGTGCTGGCAGGTGTGTGGAAGGTTCCAGACTGTATGACTCCAGAGACTGCTACCTCAAGTTAAAGCAAAACCAATGAACGCAGACAGTAACAGAACACGTTTACATTTATATTTAATAATTTAGCAAATGCTTTTATCCGAAGCGACTTCCAAATGAGTAGAACAAAAGAAGCAATCAGACCAACAAGAGAGCAACAGTGTACAAGTGATGTGACAAGTCTCGGTTAATCTAGCACAGTACACATAGCAGGGTGTATTTTTTTTTAAATAAATGAGAAAAAATGAATAGAATAGAATAGAATAGAATAGAATAGAAAAGTGCTAGTATTAATTGGTCAGGTGCTGATGAAAAAGATGTGTCTTTAGACATTTTTTGAAAATGGTTAAAGACTCAGCTGCTCGAATTGAGATAATTTATCCTAATCAAATGAAAAGTAAACCCTTTTATTTTTTGGCAAACAAAGTGCTGCACAATTAAAAAGTGCTGTTAAAATTAAAAAGAAAACAGATGTGATTATTCCTTTAAAAATAAAGATGTATTAATATTTATTAGCAGTAGTAGCATTGATTCTTAAGACTGCTAAATAGTAATATATTCTGACAGTTTCTTAACGTTAAACGAAACTTTTATTTTGACGGGTTGCCGTGAAGAACTTCCAGGTGCTGTGTATGTGATATGACAGTAGTTTTCTCAAATGAAACGGTAAAATGCTAATGAAGTGACTCTCAGAG